AAATAAATATACAAATAAAGGAGTGTGATCATGATATAGATATACATACAAGCATATATTTACATAAAAATATATACATAATTATATATATACATATATATACATATATTGTATATATATATATATATATAATATATATATATATATATATATATTATATATATATATATACATATATACAAACATATATACATCAACTTACATTGTATATATATATATATATATATATATATATATATATATATATTATTATATATATATATTATATATATAAATATTATTTATATATATAATATATATATATATATAATATATATATATATATATATATATATAATATATATATATATATATATATATATATATATGTACACACCCACCCACACATGTGTATGTGTGTGATGTTACACATGTATGTATGCATGAAGATATTTATGGGTATATTTACTTTTCTATACAGTAATACGTGTCGATAAAGGTAGATCATCTGATAATACAAACACACAAACACGAAAAAGCAACAGCCAAACACAACAAACAAACAAACACACACACACGTAAGCGCATGAACATGACCCAACGTATGCACACACAGATCACGTGTGGCCGGGCACGTTGTTGCCCCTCCAGCCTCGCAGGGGTAGCCGCCCCCCTGACGGCGCTGTTAAAGAAAATGGGATCAATTCGGCAGGGAAGTCTACTTAAAAAGAAAATTAAGGCCCGACGATAGATGGGCCTCTCTAATTGCACCTGACTTAAAATCCTTAACACTGCGTTTTAGGGATTTAAGTGTGACTTCCGTGGGCCTGTGTGTAGAGTCAAGTTGGTGTTAAATATCAACTACGAGGTCGATAAACCTTGAGCAATGTTGTCTAAGTAGTGGCGCATTACCATGGCAACGAGGTAAATAGTGGTATTTTCTATTCGAGCTGGTCGCGGTGCCTTCGCCTCAGCGCGCCTGCGTCACTGAGCCTCGCCTCCCTCCCTCTCCCCCAATCGCTCGCTCCTCCTCCCTCCCTCCCTCCCTCCCTCCCTCCCTCGCTCTGCTCTCTCTCTCTCTCTCCCTCCCCCCTCTCTCTCCATCACGCGCTTCTCTCCAGCTCTTTCGCTCTCCGCTCGTTCTCGTTCTGGTTCTCGCTCGCTCGCTCGCTCTCACTCTCTCGTCTGCACATGGACGTCGCTCTGCCGGCCCGAGATTTAAACCCTTTTTCGAGCTTGCCCCTATCTAAGTCTGCTGATGCTTTTGTCGTGACTTAATTTAAAAGACACTATTGTTGTTTTTCACTTAGGACACTCACATGAAGCTAACAATAAATATAGATCTTCAAATTCGCTTTATTTGGAACGGAGCCAGGGCAAGGTGCCTGGGGTGTGCACGCGGTAAGGGCGAGGTCGAGTGGTAAGGCACTGGTCTCGCCCCTACGGCCCGCAGCAGCAGCTCGCCTTGTGTAAGATCGCACCACCACAGCCTTCACCAGAGCGGACCGTGGACTGTGTCGCCTTGTGAAGGGGAGACTCTCACAAACTGCAACACATTCTACTTTCTTCCCCCCTCCCCCCAAAAAAAAGGAAAATTAGGAATCTAGAAAACGTTTGCGATAATGGCTGTAAAATCGTAACACAAGCGTAAGGCAGGTGGGTGCAGTGCGTGGGTGTGAGGCCGCCTACGCCAGTGCCCCGTGAATGGTGGCACTCAAGGAGTGGGTGGGCGAGGCAGGCGGAGGAGCAGGAGGCAGTGCTTAGACGGTGCAGCACCAAGTTTTGCACACACCACACGGCTCTCTCTCCCTCCTCTCACTGTGACGTAACAGGTGGAGACATATACATACACACACACACACAGCCATACTTCCCGCGCCAGCTTCAACCTAAGATTTGGCTTGTGTACTGTGCCGTGGATGCTCACAATGACCGCTTCTGCTGGCCTCTCCTTGCCTACCACCTGTTGGCTGTCCTTACCAATGCTCTGACAACAATTCTGCCACATCTTCTTGACAAAAAACACCTGTGGCATCTCCAAACGTTCTTTCCTAAGCTCTATCTATACGATGTTGCTAGGTGTCGCGGCAACTTTGGGGAAGTTCCCATGTATTCTTCCGACTGTTGCAGGGGTCGCGGGAATTCGCTCTCCGGAGGATATCCTGGGACAGAGCGAGCCAAACGTACGCTTAATTACATGTACAAAAATAGTGTACCCCCCCCCCCAACACCTTTTGGAGTGGCAACCTTCGGCTTGATTGTGTCCCATATACTAAGAGCTATCTCTAATGAGGACTCAAAAATACAAATTAACTCAGTTAAGCGCGTATATGCGTTGTGATACCTAAGAGGCCTTTCAATTGAAAAGCACATCTTAATTTTTCTATCATCAAATTTTCTTTGTTTTGATTCCTCATATTTCTCCGCGGCGTGTTTTCTTGTTTTCTCCGAGCTCTGTTTGCTAGACTTTGGTTGTAGCGCCCCCGCACGACTGAAGTTGGCACAAAACCGCCTCTATGCGCCCCGTTCTCAAAGACTATGTTTGTGTGCCTGCCGGATGTTTTGTCCGACCCACGTAGCAACCACCCAACGCCGTTATTCCAATTTGGTCTGTGAGTCACCGCGCGCGTGAGGGCTGAACTCCCGTCCCATTGGCTAACTTATTGTTCGACCAGTGACAGAAGGGCTCCGCGCTGAAACTCGGGCGGGGCAATTATGATCCGTACGGACTAGGCAGTAAGGTTGGAAATCCTTCCACACTAGATCCTACTAGGCGCCTGAGGGTACCCAACCCTCAGCACGACATCTACGTCTCTAAGCCCACTGACGGTAAGGGTGGTATTGGAGTGCAGCTAGCCTTGAGTGGAGGTAGGGGGGGCTAAAGGAGAGGGAGGGAGGACGGGAGGGGCAAAGGGAGAGGGAGGGAGGGAGGGAAAGAGGGGGAACCAACGGTGACTGGCCGTGGTGAACGGGGCGGGGAGATGCAAAAACCGCCTTCGGTGCGGGGCTACAAGGACGTTACTCCTCTGAATCTGATGTCATATGTTAGTTGCTGGATACGAGTTCGGACAGTTGTAAATTCTATCGCGTCGTACATAGAGTCGAGTTTCCCGTGCGGTGCATCAGACCTAAACTTGCTTCATCAAAACCGTGTGTACGGGAATTTGGTCTCTCCCGCCGAGCGCCATACTGGTTAGACTCGCGAGCTGTGCCATGGTATTTGCGGGTTGAACAGGCTCCGGCGAGGCCACGTCGAGACTGTTCCTCTCTCGCAGCTGTGGACCAACTGCCTCCGCCGCGCAGCGTCAATTTCTACCGGCGACGGCCACATTTGTTCGGATGCGTGCACAGAGGGGAATTTGAAAAACACTTCTAGAGGGATGCTATGATTTACGCAAGTGCCAAAATGAACCAACATTTTGCACTGAAGCATCAGGTCTCAAACTGCGCATGCGCTTGACTAGCAGGCACTATATTACAGATTATATTCATACGAACTTTGAGATTCAACTGATGGCGGTCTTAATAGGAAGAAAAAAGTTTTGAGACACAGAGAAGGTACATATGGAAAATGGGGCCATTGTAGGGGAGTCTCGCGCATTGCAGGTTTGCACCGGCGTCTTATCAACAGATACTACAGCAATACGCACAATCCCTTTTAAACCTTACAAATGCTGGGAATTTACAAATACAAATGTAAGTGAATGGGCATTTCAATTGTTCAGAAAATGACAGGCGACAATCACCGAAGAATGCAGAAAATGTTTCTTCATTAACTTGAAATCTTGAAGGGGGAGGGAGAGAGGGAGAGAGGGACAGAGGGAGAGGGAGGGAGGGAGAGAGGGAGAGAGAGAAAGAGAGAGAGAGAGAGGGAGGGGAGAGAGAGGGAGGGAGGGAGAGATAGACAGATATATAATTATATTATATATATACATATATATATATATATATATATATATATATAATATATATATAGAAGAGAGAGAGAGAGAGAGAGAGAGAGAGAGAGAGGAGAGGAGCGAGAGAGAGAGAGGGTGAAAGGGGGAGAGGGAGAATTGGAGGGAGGGAGGGAGAGGGGAAGAGGAGAGGGAGAGGGGAGAGGGGAGAGAGGAGAGGGGGAGAGAGGAGAGGGAGAGAGGGAGAGGGGAGAGGGAGGAGAGAGAGAGGGAGGGGGAGAGAGGGAGAGAGAGGGAGGGGAGAGAGGAGAGAGAGAGAGAGAGAAGAGAGAGAGAGAGAGAGAGAGAGAGAGAGAGGAGAGAGAGAGAAAGAGGAGGGAGAGAGAGAGAAGGGAGGGAGAAAGAGAGGAAGAAGGGGGAGGGAGAGAAGAGAGGAGAGGTAGAACAGATAATATATATATAATAATATATATAATATAGATATAATATATATATTATATATATATATATATAGAGGAGAGAGAGAGAGAGAGAGAGAGAGAGAGAGAGAGAGAGAGAGAAGAAAAAGAGATACGAGAGAAAAGAGATACGAGAGAAGAGAGAGAGAGAGAGAGAGAGGAGAGAGAGAGAGAGAGAGAGAGAGAGAGAGAGAGAGAGAGAGAGAGAGAGAGAGAGAGAGAGAGAGAGAGAGAGAGAATGAGCGAGCGAGCGAGCGAGCAAAGAAGGGGAGGGGTACCGAGGGAGGGAAGCAGCTGTGAAGAGTAGTGGAAGTAGGAAGGACAGAGAAACTGACGAGGGGTAACTTAAAGAACCTGGAAACAGAAACGAAGGGAGGGGAGGAGAAAACCACGCATAGGTTTTCCATCGCGGTTGTGTGGGAGGCGGTAGAGAGAGGTCCTGAATGTTGTGAAGAATAAACTATACAAACTTGAGCGTGTATGTGTGTATATATATTATTATATATTATATATTATATATATATATTATATATATATATATACATATATATATATACATATAT